AAACCTCAGGACATAGGTGGGCTTTATGGTAAAAATTAAAAATCCCCATAACAAGACAATATTAAAGCTAACCCTGGAATGCCACCAATTAAGTATTACAACTCCAATTTTAGGAAAAACCCTTTGGATTTTTTTTAAACCACAACTCCCATACCCCTCTCAGTCAGACTGTTGACACAGCACCCCATTGTAGCCTCATATTGTTTTGAAAACGTATACTACTAATAATCCAAATAGCAACACTGTTAAAAATTAATGAACTGCATTATATTTGGTTGATCTATGCTAAGAAAACAACAATGTTGTAATGAAGAATGGAACTAAAACAGAAGACAAGCGCGCCAAACTGCTCTGCTCACGTGACGCAAAGTGCACCGGCCTCATCCCATGATAACGCCAATGTGGACTCGCACAAAAATAACGTCAAACGAAGGCTGAATATTAAAACGACAATTGACGTCAATCTACTGTAGTGCTGCTTAAAAGACACAAATATCTTTGAAGACAAGAGATATTTAATTTTCCACTATGTGGAATCTCAGCGGTCCATAGCAACCAAAACTTCAGTTTCACATTATTCTGTGAGACTGAAAAATCTTTCAACAACGAGCAAGCGAGTGATTATGTACAGTCACTGAGGTGATATTATGAAAAAAAATATATATTTCTCGCTAGAAATGTAAATCAAAACGCCAAAATTTTTAGCAGAAACTAACCAAATATAGATTTTCATAAAAAAATGAGAGATAATGTCGCCATTTTTGTCTAAACACGGCCGGATCTTGAAAGTCATGTGACTTGACGGCAAAACAATGATGAAAAGAAAATAGCAGAAAAATTTAACAGTTAACAATTTAAGGCCATGAATTGAAACCCCCTCACGTTGCACTTACCCAACGTGCCAGGAACGTTTTATATATGAACTGGTTCTGTAACCCCTCTGCTCAGTGTATACCACAATGCCACAGACGCTGCCACACATCTTGACCAATCACGCGGCTTTAACAGAAAAAAACGGGGAAAAATACCGGAAAAAAATCCGGATCTGGCTCCCAATCAGGAGCCGGATCCCGTCGTTCACTTCAAAGAGCCGGCTCTTAGAGCCGGATCGTTCGCGACCGACCCATCACTAGTCTGCAGGGGCTAATCTTTAGGGGGCGCTGTCGAGCCATTTTGCCACACCCATGTACAAGACCCATAAAACTGATTAATTTTGGTTAAGAATAAAAATTATCTGAGCGGTTCCAACAGTTTACTTATTAGGCTACAGTTAAAACACGGCACTAATGATGGCTACTTGGCAAATGTCAGTGTTTCCTTTTAACAGTTTTTGGGGGTTCCTCCTGGACCCATACCCCAAACCCAACAGGAAGCTGTTTATGTTGAATGTAGCGTGCAATTTTGGTGCCATTTCTGCCATTTCCACGAGTTGTATTTTAACAAATTTCTCCCAGAGAATTGATCGGATCAACTAATGTGTCAGAGTAATCTGAAGACCATCACGATGAAAAGTTATCAGGATCTTATACAGCGTGTCCGTGGCGTGGCAACAGAAAGTCGTTGTAACTTCAGTGGACTTTGTCCACGGCCCTAAACACATCTACAGTACGTGTCAGTATTCAGTCATACTTATAGTGCCCCCTACTGGAAACAGGAAGTAAGTCGTGTGTGGCGATCATCATCTGATCAAGTGAATGTTTGTAAGGTGTGGTCTACACATAACCGTAACACCACCGCACTGCAGGGGCTTTAATTTGTATTCGATTATATGCAGAAACAAACAGCAGTTGTGCTGGTATTTGGTCCCAAACCTGGTGATGGTGCTAGAGGAAAAGTGATTGGATTAATAATGTTATTAGAAATGATCCTGAGGGGAACATATCAGCAGTGGTTGTCATATTCCAGTCTGGTTGTCTCTTATTAATCAGTGATTGATCTGTTTTGTAGGGGTGTGGTGGACCAATTCAAGACATTTATCAAGAAAAACATCAAGAAGCAGGTTTGTTCACCACAGTTGGATCTGACGTCTCTCTCAATCTCACCTTCAAAATTTGCTCCCATCGCCACTATTTTTACTTCACTTTCACCATCTGTCTGTCTGTCTGCAGATCTGTCCTTCTATTCAGAATTTCATTCCTCAAGTTAACTCCATGTCAGACCAGCTGACCATGAGGATGAATCTGCCCAGCGAGCTGACCTCAAAGCTGAATGTGCCTGGAGGCCAAGAAATCATCATCGATTATTCTGTGACCGGAGACGTGAGAGTGAGCGCCAACAGCCTCGATATTCCTTTCAGAGTAAGAAACAACCTGTTCATGTAGCTCACACACACTGTGCTGCTTGATTGTCTGACCTCAGCTTGTTTCAATCAATGAATTCAACTTCTTCTGTCTACTCATGACATACAGGAAGACAGATTCTGCTACCTGTTGTTAGCCAATTGCCAACTTGTTGTGCTAATTTACAATCATTCAATTGTTAGTTAGCTGAACTTTTTAACTGTATTCAATGATTCTGGTGAAACTGGATCAGATTTTATGGGGAAAATATTTCCTGGTTTTCCCTCTCACGTCCTCCGGCTGCTTCAACTCTCTGAGATTTACAGAGTTTCCTGATGGACGGATAGCTTTAGCTAAAGTAGCTAACCGCTAATTAACTTCTGCTAACTGTAACTGTCGGTAGTTGCCGACAGAACCGGGCTCAGCAGCCGGCCCGGGTTTGAACACAGCCTCTGAGACCGACAGGGAAGAACGTTACAGTACCGAGGTCATTTACAGTTTCTGATGGACAGATTGATCAGTAGCCAACCACTAACTGCTGTTAGCTCTGTCAGCTGTGCAGCTAAGCTAACTGACTCAGCCCTGGGATGCCAGGAGTCAAACCCGACAAGAAAACCACCTTTATACTGGATTTGGTCGGTCTCTGAGATTGTGTTCGGTCCCAGGTCCAGCTGTGTTCACTGGAAGCTCAACACTGATGCTAGTTCATAGCGATAGCTGCTATTGGCTGCTGTTAACGCCAATCAATATCTGTGACAAGTCTCTCCCTACTGCCAGGAAACACAAACAGCACTTCCTGTTTCCTCCCTCTGGACAGCCATGAATATCTCTGTAGATATAAACAGATCTGTGTGTGTTTCAGGGTTTTGTGTCCACGCCGGGCAGCAACGTTGACCCTGATTCAATCAGAAAAGGTGAAGATCCTGTTTTCACACAGACTGACCAGATGGCTTATGTGGGTATCTCTGAGTTCTTCTTGAACAGCGCCACCACATCGCTCCACAGGGCCGGGGCCATGAGCATGACTGACCAGGTGAACCACCTGAACCTTTATAGACCTTAATCTGATTCACCAATATGAACCACAGTCTCGACTAGTCCATACCTTTACTGTAAAAGTCCAGACCACTCGAGTTATTTCACTGAAATAAAATCATTTGTGTTGGAACTGATCCTCTGTCCTCCTCGACAGGTGACGCAGCCAATTTGGTGGGGTTTTCTGAAATTTCTGCAAGTGTTTACGGTAATTATTATTAATTATTATTATTCCTTCTGCGAATCATTTTTAATCAGGCTTTTAATATTTATTATATTTAATAACATATTTATCGCTAGCAAAATCTCAGTGGAAATGTTAGTTGGCTAACTTTAGCTTCCCCAGCTAACGTGATACTAAATTATGTATTCTGACAAAGGTGTTGATTTTATCCACAATACAATGCGCACAGTGTCGTAACCACTGCAACCTGCTCTGTAATCCAGTGGTTTACTGGTCCTGTATGTGGCCCAGGATCAATAACTCTGATCTAAAGCAGCTAGGACTGAACCGATGGTCCACAGCGAACTCATATGCTGTTAATATGAGTATATCTCGCAGTAGTACATAGGTCCAGAGCCAGTATATCATGGCAGTTCCATGGTCCAGCGTCCGAATTGGCTTCAGGAGAAAGGATGGCTGCCTTTTACTGTGATATCACTGATGTTGTTTCCTCCTCTGTATTATTGATTATTATTGATTATTATCTGGTTGCAGCATCCGTTTGACCTGATGAATCCGATGTCCAGTGAAGTGGTCGTTGTCGAGGTTCCTGAGATCAGCATCACTCAGGATAAAGGAGTGATTCTCAAAGTCCCGAAAGTCATCTACAAATGCACTGCAGGGCAGGACGTTCTGTCAGTGGAGGCGGTGAGAAAACTGTTTTACTGATCGTATTGATCCGTAATCATATTGATCCATGATCACATTGATTCGTAATCGTATTAACTTGTGATCGTATTGATCCGTGATCAGATTGATTTGTGGTTGTATTGATTCGTGATTGTATTGATCTGTGATCGCATAAACTTGTGTTTATATTGATCCGTGATCGTATTGATTCCTGACTGTATTGACTAATGGTCACATTGATTCATGATTGTATGAAGTAATGATTGTATTGACTTGTGATCGTATTGATCTGTGATCGTATTGATTCCTGGCTGTATTGACTCATGGTCATATTGATTCATGATTGTATTAAGTCATGATCGGATAGATTTGTGGTTGTATTGATTCCAATTCCAATTCCAATCAAAGTATTTAGTGTGCCTGCAAAGCACTCTACTATTATTCCTCATACTTAAACTTAATAAACTTATTCTTCCGTACGTTTTTCGGCGCGCTACTCCTCCCGCAGTTTTGGTCGCACATACACAAAAAAGGTACCAAAACGTGCGGCTCGGTGAGGACATTAGTGCTATGACTTTTCTAAGCGTTTCGCCAAACGGTTTGCCGATAAATCGCCAAAAACCGGGCCAAAAAATGAATGGGCCTGTGTATTGGAAGAATGTTCAACTGACAATAACTGCCGTTTCATTTAGAGTGGAGCGAGAGGGAAAAATTTGTCGAAAAATAAATTTGTAAACTGCTCTCAAGGCCACAAATGTCACTCTACAGAAATAATTTATAGATAGAAACGTAGGTAAATTCGTTGGGTCGCAGTGATACCACTGCTGAAGCTGTCAGACAAATAGTTTTGGCGGGAAACGCACAGCTGCGCCAGCAACACCCTTCTCACGGCCCCATCTACTCCCATGTTAATTTGAGAGGAAGAATTTTGAAAAGAGCTCGTTGAACCTCTTCTTCTCTAACTCCCGAGGTCACACATTTTTTAACTTTAGCCACTGAAACTCGGCAGTCCTATGGTCAACAAGATGACGAATGCTCACGGTCTTTTCGGTTTTCATTTCGGTCGTTCCTGGCCAATGGTTCGAGGGGATTCATTTTAAATGTTTCTGTCTCTCTCAAGAGTCTCAAGTGCTGTGGTCTCCCCTGGTTGCCACGACAACCAAAGCCTGCCTGTGAACACACACATACACGCACACACATAGCTAGCTACAGAGGATGACAAGGTATTAATATGCTAGCGCTAGCTAGCTAGCTAGCTAAAGAGGATGACATGGTATTAATATACAGGCCAGAGTCAGGCACACTCAAAATTTCTTTAGGAATTTTCCAGTTTATCTTGTGGTTACATCGTGTAAAGGAGCCTGTGGCTTATTATTTTTGAGTATATTGTGCTCACATAATGCAATTTTCTAAATATAATAAAGCTGTGTTACATCAAATTGCTACAAATGGATATAGAGAAAACCTGGGGCACAAAGAACATCAGTATAGCAATACTGCTTGGTGTTTGGTTGCAAATATAAAGAAGCTGACATTTATACTGTGTTGTATACACTGTACTGGAAGGGAACTTGGAGGCAACATTAGCCCAACAGCAAATATTTAGCCTGGGGCTCCAAAATAGGTTAATCCTGCCATGGCCTGCACTGTAAAAGCACAATATCAGTGCGATGTTATTAATGTATGAATGCAATAAATATGTTTAAAAGGTCACAGATTTATGAAATGAGAGAAACAGGCAAAGCCTAAATTCAAATCCCTCAAACTGGGAATAAATGCAGCAACACTGCCTCTCTAACTTCATGGCAGAAGGTGAAACTGATAGCAGGCTTTTTATAGAACTGGCTTCTTGAACAAGAAGTGGGGTGCAGGTAATTATTGGAATTGTCTTTCTGCAGTATTTCATTATTGATATTAGACTCTCAGCACTCTCAGGAGCAGAGATTTGATAGATAATAGTAACACATATTGTAAAAGAGCAAACCTACCCAATATTGCTCAATAGGAGACTAACTTTAAAACCAAATTCTTGTTTCCCAAAACATTCATAGTGAGCCCATGTAAAGATTCCTGTTGATAAAAAACAAGTAAAATTCTTCTTTGGGTAAGTAGAGATTAGAAAATAAATTTTACATGTTCTGTTTATGGCTTAAGTTTATATCAATAATCACACAAACCTGAGTGAGGTTGTTTGTCATTTGTTGATACTTTAATTACAGGTTTATACACCAGTTATTGTTTGGTCTTGCAACTTGAGTATCAGGTACATTTTGTTTTATTATTAGCAACATAATAAGGTTAAATAAAACTTGGTGTCCCAGATGTATGTAATGAGGTCAGTAGAGATCTGTATTAAAGCAGATTATATCCATATTTCTGTGCACTGAAACA